GAGGAATGTCAGGTATCTAAAGGCCACCTGTGGACACCTGCAAACAATCAATGACATCTTGTTCTCAGTGTGGATTTCTCTGACCTACACCAGTAACTTCACGAGTGAGCTTCAGAAATCTGTACTTGGAAAACACTACACTGCAGGTGAGCCTTAACACATACTGAAATGTCCAAGCCACTCATTCCCTGAGAACAAGTGTGTCAGATTTATTCTGACACAAGTTGCAGGCCTGTCTTCCAAAGCTTTGTGGTAAGTTGCTCCTTTTTGTCTGCACACCCTCTTTAAGCCTCAGCATCCTGTCAAAGTGATAAATACCTATACTCTGTTGTGATGATCAAATGATGAACAATCTAAGATGCTTAGATATAGTGTGCTCAATAAATATAATATAAGTGATAATAACCTCATAAAAATCTCCAAGTGTGAGCGCATAAAGCAGATGTGATAAGGAAATGAGAGAAGAAAATTGTCGAGTTCACTGGGGATTTATTTCTAGTAATAACCTCCACTCACCTACCACTCCCTGTTGATGTGCCAGGCCATGTTCACGTGAATTCAAAATGTGCTTATATAGCAACCCCATGGAGGAAAAATTTAGTAGAGCACTAGCTGAAGGCTGGTGAGGTCCAATGTCTTGAGAAAAGCCATCATACAGCACACATTAGGGAACAAATTGTGTTACAGTCAAGATGGTCAAATTCAATCTGTGAGGCACCCAACTCGCCCTGCACTTGTCAGAGATGAACCACCAGGCAAGCTCTGAAACCAAGGCAAGTTCTGAGACCACAGGTAGCAGTGCTCCGGAAAGTGGGGTCAGTGTACCATTCACTCTCCCAAATCTCCTTTATTGCCCAAACTATTGTTTGCAACTACAGAAATAAACAGCAGACCTGTATTTCCTGCCACATTTCTCAAAGTGAGGAAATCAAAACCACTGTTCTATTACTCTGTAGTCATTATTTGCTATTAGTGTTAAGTGAAAATGCCACATTCTACACTGTTCTTGATAGGGATGGATAAGGTTCAAAATCCAAATACAGAAACCAGAGCTTTGAAAGGATCACAATCTGTCTGGCAAAGGACTGAAACAGACACCTGTTGTGTTTCCCTAGCCAGCGTCCACTCCCCCTTCTTCAGTGCTTGCTCCCTGGTTTTCCTTTGGGTACCACTCCCCACCTCAACACCACCACTACCACCTAACTCCTGATGTAAATGAAAAGGTTGAAGCCCATTTACAAAAAAGGATACATGATCCAGGCTTTGAAAATTAGCATGTTCCATACCTCCAATGATAGTTATTGGTTCAAGGATGGCAGGTCTAAACTGATCCAATCAAGAGTAGAGCTTAAGAGTTTGTCCTGAAATATCAGGAAAAAAAAATGAAAAGACGTCCTTCTGATGAGATGGGATTTGTCAGGGTCACCTCATGGAGAAATGCTGGCTGCACTATCTGTACCCCTGGATTCTTTCATATCAAAAGTTCTTCCACAAGACTTTTCAGATATAATACAATTTGTGTTTTCCTAAACCTCTTTAAATGAGGATTCTGGTCATTTAGGGAAAAAAAGCTTAAGCGAGAACCACATGAACCTCCCAAACAATCAATCATTCACCAACTCAAATTAAAGTGAAAATGCTGTGAGTTTAGTGCACCAACAGGCAGATTAGTGGGGCAAGAGAAGGATGATTGATTCTTCTCCATGAGCAGAGCCAATGATATTAGGAAGACAGAGCTAACACACACACACACACACACACACACATAACCTCATAAGTGAAACTAGAAACAATAGGGGTGGGATTCATCAGAAGAAAATAAAACTATTTTCCACTCTCTAGAAAACAGAAAAAAAATTAATATGACAGCAGAAGCTTAGCAAATAAATGTACCCCATCTAACATGCTGCAGAAAGAGAACAGAAGGAAATAATTTTTAAAAGAAGCAGAGACTGGAGGGAGATAAAAAAGGAAAAAAAGCCTTTCTATGAGGGACATATTTGGGACACTATTCAGCAGGAAAAGGCATTGAAGTCCACGTATTTTGTCTCAACATTTAAATTAGACAGATAATTTAGTCTGAAAAATCTACCTGAAATTCTTATTACTAGCGAACATATTATTCTATATTATAGGACAGTGGAAAAACAGCCAGCACAAAATCCATAATGCTAGAATGCATTCAAGACACCATCCTGACATCAGAAGTGAAAACAATATAAGCACATAATTCCATTTTAATACCAAAAAAATACCCTAAAATAATCTTGAGCAAAAAAAAGAATTCTCTGTCTCTATAAGCAAATGTATATGACTCAATAGTATTTGCCTTTAATTTTCTTCACAAGCAGCAACTGAGAGACTATAAAATTCTACATATATCTTCAGGTGCCACACAATCAAATAAAAATAAACTAAATACAGGGAAAGCAAAAGATGAAAATCATTTATTTGGTTAATTAGTTTCAACCAGAAACCTGATTATGACAGAAAATACAATGAAAAGATGCTAAAATAATGAGATGAGTCTCAGTTCTTCGCTGAGATGCCCACCTGGCCTATCAGGTATATTAAACATTGGTAACATGCTTACTGTTAAGTAAATAAATGATATAAAGAAGTCAGTTTACCAGGATGAAAATTTCACTGTGGTGAAATTTCATTATAATTATAAATTTATAACTATAAATTTTTTCATTATAATTATAAATTTCATTATAATTTCAAATCCTTAATCTCCAGATATATTTGCTTTGTAAACTTAGGAGTGACTCAAAGAGGCGTAAGTTAACATAAAACAAATTCTAAGCCACTGAATTAACCACTACAGTCTGTAAATTAAGAATTTGGATTTCCCAATGGCTAATGTAGGGATATGGATTCTTCTCTGGTCATTTCTTTTCCTCATGAATTACACTGTATTTTACCAATACCCTCTTGGAGCTATGTACAAATTGTATTATGGCCAGTTGTTTACATGGCCAGATGTATCCCTGGACTGTAAACTCCGACAGAATAAAATGACCGCTTGTCACTATCATACATCTAAGTTTTTTTCTATAATAGCTTCCAACTTAGAATTTAAGGGGCAGGACCAGGCTGCCAAAATGGTTGTTGTTGCCAACCTTGAAGAGCAGTAATGCAAACGTCATAAAAGTTCAGGGACACAGTAGTCATACAGTTCCAGAACCACATTCTGTCCTCTCCACTTCCTGGCTGAGGTATCTCGAGTCAGTAACTTAATTTCCTGCACAGCACTATTCTAAAACTAGAATAAAGGTTATACATAGACTTCAAGTTGTTAAAGGGAATCCAAGAAGTGATCAGAGTGAAGGGACACAGTACATCATCAAGAATCTACAATGCAGCATTATTATTATTATTATTATTATTATTATTATTATTTACTGATACTGTGTCCACAGGATCAGGACTGCAATTCAAGTGTATCGCTCTTAGTTGAGCTAAGCCTTCATCTTGAGGAAATTCACTGTGGTCTAGTTTGTTGCTCTTTGGCTAGCTGTAGTTCCACATGAAACAATGAAAACTTAAGCCAGGTGTAAGGACAGTTCCTAGGCACTATGTTGCACAGACCATAAGCTGGACTCTGTCATGCTAGACAGCTTAATAAAGGCAATCATTCTGTAATACAATTGGAATGTGTTATGTATGATTTTGTTTTGTAATAATTTCCTCATACCTACCAGAGAAAAAATTTATATGTGCTCCAAGAAATATAGTAAAGGAAGGAGGAAAGCAAAAAGTAACGCAATATTTGAGGGCCTACTATGTGTCAGGCACCAAAGAATCCAGTCAGGACAACAAACATGGCAGAACTTTCCCAAGGTCAAGGCAAGGTTACAGAAATTGAGGCATCTTTTAAACGTTTTTATTTATTAAGATTATTTATTTATTTATCTATCTAAAAGAGAGGGAGAGGCAGAGGCAGAGGGAGAGAGACAATCTTTATCCACTAGTTTAATCCCCAAATAGCCTCAACAGCCATGGCTGGGCTAGGCCAAAGCCAGGAACCAAGAGCTTCATCCAGGCCTCCCACTGGGTGTACGGGCCCAATATTTGGGCCATATTCCGTTTCTTTCCCAGGTGCATTAGGAGAGAGCTGGATCAGAAGTGGAGCAGCTGGGACTCAAACCGGCACCCAAGTGGGATGACAGCACTGCAGGCTTTACCCACTATGCCACATTGCTAGCCACTAGATGTTTACATTTAAAAAAGCAATGACTTTAATCAGGGAAAGAAGGAGCACAAGATACTATAACTGTGATAGGTTTTTTTTTTTTTACTATCATTTTAAAATACAACCAGAGTGTGTGGTGTGGTAACAGGACAGACTCAGAAAGGTATAGGGTGAATAACTTGTGTTCTCAGAGCTGTGTATCCTGGTAACTGTGAGGGTGAACTCACTTGGAGAGGGAATGGCAAAGGTTTAATTTGTAAGTGTGTGTCTTGAGCAAACAGAGCTCAGGTCTCATCTCTGGGATAAGCTAGGAGGGCATTTTGACCCAACTACAATGTGGCCATTTGATGTCAAACCACCTAGTCAACACAGAAAATCACTATATTTTCAAAAACATAAAAAAGATATTGCCTACCATTGTTGAGGTCAGGTCTTAAGGGCCCTGAGTCTTTTGTTACAAAAAGAATAAAGAGATATGAATAATAAGTACTTACAATGACTAAACACACACACACACACACACACACATACACACAACAAATTTTACAAAACTGCAAAAATGCAAACATCAAAAAGCCTACAAAAATAACAATTTATCAACTGCCTAGCTTATCTCTGAAGAACCTTTCTGTATATTTTTGGACTGTATACTTCCTGATCATCTCTTCATAAGCTAATGATTTCATAATATCAGTCCTTAAAATACCGTTCTTTAGCAACATTGATCAAACTTGTTTTTAATTACTGATAGTTTTAAAAAGCTGCTGTTAGCATCATAATTTATTACTGGCAATATACATACATTCTTAGAACTGTTGTCAAATTTGGAGAAACTTTTATCAGGTGTCTTTCATTTATGAACTGTAAATTTCAGGGCATCTCAATTTTTCTTGTGCTGTGACCAATCTTAAAAACTCTGGGTGAACAAAAGTTTAAAACAAGTCAATGTACCTTTTATAATGATATGAATTTTATTTTATTGTTGCTGTCAGTATTTTATTTATTTATTTATTTTTTTGACAGGCAGAGTGGACAGTGAGAGAGAGAGACAGAGAGAAAGGTCTTCCTTTTGCCGTTGGTTCACCCTCCAATGGCCGCCGCGGCCGGCACGCTGCGGCCGGCGCACCGCGCTGATCCGATAGCAGGAGCCAGGAGCCAGGTGCTTTTCCTGGTCTCCCATGGGGTGCAGGGCCCAAGCACCTGGGCCATCCTCCACTGCACTCCCTGGCCACAGCAGAGGGCTGGCCTGGAAGAGGGGCAACCGGGACAGAATCCGGCGCCCCGACCGGGACTAGAACCTGGTGTGCTGGCGCCGCTAGGCGGAGGATTAGTCTAGTGAGCCGCGGCGCCGGCCGTCAGTATTTTATTTTAAATCAGTTAGAAATATAAGCATATTTCCAATGTATCCATGAAATTCAGTGACATATTGGGATGCATAAAACATGTGACTTTACAAAGGTTCAATAACAGTATTTGTAGTATTACTGCACATGTATATCTTACAAAAACAGTAATTTCAAACATATCCAGTACCTTATCAAGTATATTCCTGGCAGCAAAGATCTTCTGTTTTGACAAGATATGTATGAGAACTGAATGACTCTTGCTGTGGTTTGCATACGATTTGTCCCCCAAGTGTACTGGTGTTGGAAGGTGGTCCCTACAGAGAATAAGAGATGATGCTGAACTTTTAACAGGTGGGGCCTAGCGGGAGGTCTGTAGGTCAATTAGGACACCAGAGGAATTAAGGTATTTTTCATGGGATCCTGATGAGTTTCTGTGAGAGTATGTGGTTATAAACACCTGAACCTAGCCCCACGCAGCCTCTCTGGCTTCCTATACCAAGATGTGACCACTTATTTCCACGTGTGCTCTCACTATTGCCGCCCACCATGATGTCACACAGCCAAAAGAACCTTCTCCTGAACTAAGCCAAAACCAGTACCATGCCCTTGAAACTCCAAAACGTTGAGATCAATACGTTTCTTTTCCTCATAAGTAGTCAGCCTCAGCTGCTTCACTCCGGTAACGAAAAGCTGACCAACAGAATTCTCTTACAGTACTACATGCCTGATGGTTGGGAGAATTTCCCACAGACTTGCTTCTGGCTCCACATATTTCAACCCGTGTTTCTCCTCACTACCCACCTACTTTCAGTGCTAGAAGCTATAGCCCATGCACACGTTCTGGCTCTGCACTTCAGCGGTAAATGTTAGTGAATCAAAGCAATGGATGACTGGAGTGTGCCTGGAAGTAATTTTTATAACTAAAACCGCTAGTTAAGTAGCTCTACATAGATATGATTGCAAACAGTGTAAATATGACCTCTGACCTAAACCTAAATGGGTAATGGGTCCCCAGTTCAACTTTCCAGTAGCCATGTCTCCAAAATTCCTGTGGCAACCCCAGTGCCACTCAACACAAAGGAAAATGTAACCAGAGAAGGTGAGAGTGGAAAGAGAAAGCACTAATTTAAAAAGTCAAAATATTTTAGGAGTACTTTTATATATTTTATAAAAACAATTGACTATAGACATATACAGACTAGGAGTCTCCAACATTTTTGAAGGGACCCATACAAATGAAGAGACCTTGAAGTTTACACTTCACAATTTGCAACAAATGTCCTTTGGTCCCTTTTATTCCATCTCTAACCTCAACCTCAATCATGTATCATTTTTCTCTTTTAAAATTTTACTTCTCTTTACTTGAATACAGAATATATGAATAATTTTAATTTCAAAATCACAAAAACCACACAAACTTTTAAAGTCAGGACCTAAGAGGTTAGACTGCAAGTTTAATCACCTGTCCTCCAACTTACATTTTGAAGGATCTTAACAAATTAAATACCCAGACCGGCGCCGAGGCTCACTAGGCTAATCATCCGCCTGCGGCACTGGCACACCGGGTTCTAGTCCCGGTCGGGGCACCGGGTTCTGTCCCGGTTGCCCCTCTTCCAGGCCAGCTCTCTGCTGTGGCCAGGGAGTGCAGTGGAGGATGGCCCAAGTCCTTGGGCCCTGCACCCCATGGGAGACCAGGATAAGTACCTGGCTCCTGCCATCGGATCAGCACGGTGCGCCGGCCGCAGTGCGCTGACCGTGGCGGCCATTGGAGGGTGAACCAACGGCAAAGGAAGACCTTCCTCTCTGTCTCTCTCTCTCACTGTCCACTCTGCCTGTCAAAAAATAAAATAAATAAAAATAAATAAGTACCCATATAAAATGAACTACTGAGATAACTATTAGAAGTTTAACTGTTCTCTATGAAATACAGAGAATATGAGATTCTACTGTGCTACAAACAATCTCATCCTAGTTCCATCTGCATCTTGCCCAAGGGATAATGGGAGGGAGCTTCAAATGTCCATGGATAAATGAAATTTAAAATTAATGTGAATCTTCCATGACCTTTTAGAAGTCTCCTTATATATGCTCACTCTAACAGGGTTATACAATCAAGGAGTCAACATAAAACACAGGTTTTCATTCTACGGATTTTTCAAACAAAACAACAGAATGAGTATCTCACTTAAATGAATATATATATTTCTACTTACTACTTGTTGAATCCTTTATTTATGGAGGGTTAAGCTTGTGATTGTAAAGCAAACTGAAAGTATGTCACTGTAAAAAGTAAAAGAAAAATAAGAAAGGAAAGGGAAGGGAGAGTGAGTGTGAGGGAGGGAGGGAGGGTATCATTATGCTCTTAAAACTGTACATATGAAATGAAATTTGTTTCCCCTATATAACTGAAAAAATTTTTAAATGAATGCATGTTTATTGATTAAAAGCAAATTACAATGGCGATTATCAATCATTTTAGAGATAAAACCAAGACACTGAGGTACAATGATGCAAGTGAACACCCAGAAAATGAGCAGCCTCCTGTTTATAGCTATGATGGCTCCTTCCAAGACTGGCAAGTGCAGTAAGAACAGGACTCCTTTTTCCCTGTACTTTGTCAGCCATTTGCTACCTCATTTCCATACCATCTCTCCTGCAACCTTAACATTAACCAACCCCTGCTTTCATCTCAACTCTAATCCCTACCCCAGGGAGTATACGTTGGAGATGGGGTGAAGTTCAAAGATGGAGTAAATTTGATTTACATATTAATAATCATTAAAATAGATACACTTTGAGAGTCTGCTTTTTTGACTGTATCAATATATTTCCCTGCAAAGCTACTGAATTAAATAATCATATCTAAACACTGGAAATGCTAATGAATGAATTAAATTACAAAGCAAAAATCATAGAAGGCTATATCAATTTTGGCTAAATTCTTAAGGAATGAATTTATCCCCATATTGCACAACACTTTCTGGGTGGAACACAAAGAAGCATTTCCATAACTCTACTGTCTCTTTTATCCTTCGCAGCTCATTTTATGGATGTGTCTCAACAGCTATTTTTCAATAGAAATGAATTTTAAGGAGCTTAAAAAGCACACTCTCCCCTTCCATTCTGATGTCAGCATATTAAAAAAAGCAGCCCACAGTAACTATATGGAGTGCTTTGGGACAGAAATTTTACCTTATTAGGAAAGGGGAACCTAAAAGTACCAAGGCAGAATCTCCTGATGGGAGAAAGCTAAGAAATCCCTTTCTGAACCAGGGTGGGTGCCTAGGTATTCACTTATCCTCCATACCTCCATTTCAGGACTATATGTATCCTACATATCTCCTTTTGTGGACTCAGCACAGTGAGATTTGGTAAACCACAAGAACAAACCTTCCACTGACACCTGTTTCCTTAAGTTAATCTTTCGTAACAGTATATATCTCCAAGACAAGATATTCATTCTTTCATCCATCAAATGGATGAAAATGACAATACATGGTTGTTGCCTACATGGAACTGACCATTGGGAATTACAGGCAGTAAACAAAATAATAATCAAAGAATTGATTAATCATAGAGAAGATTTCCCCCATTTCCTGGAGTACTGTATCTGACAGTTGTGTAAGCTAGGGAGAGAGCAGATAGTTGCCAAGAGCTTCAAATCCATACCCTTTGACCATGAACCCAGAGACAAGGCTGCTTCTACTCTAGCTTCCAAACTGTAAGACAAGAGGATTCTTGCTAACCTGGAAGACTTGGATCACCACGTCCACCCATGGGAAACCAGATCATGTGCCCACGATCATATGTTAGGTTCAGGAAGACATATTTTCAGAAGAGTAGAGATTGGTAAGTTTGCTAATCAACCAAAACACATAAGCTATAGCCCTTTAGCCACATCTTCATTGGCCGTATCTATGGCTGATTCTCACAGTATGGAGAAAGCCAGTGCAATATTTTAAGCAAGGAAGTGATAGAATCAGATTGATTTAAATTATGTTGGCAGCACTGTGGATAATGTTATGGGTGTGAAGTAAAATTAAAGATCATGAGAACAGTTAAAGATTATTTCAGGCCAGCAAAGATGCTATCTAGGTTTAGGGTGGTGGCTTTCATGAGGCAAAACAGTAGGTTAAGTCAACAGGTATATAGGAGATAAAATATTGACAGGTGGCTGAGTGTATAAAAATAATGAAAAAGGAGAGATCATGATAACTCATCAGTTTCTACCTTGAGCAACACGTTCAGCTTTTCTTTACGTTAAACTTGCAGACAGACTCTCACCCCAGAGATGCTAATTTAATTCCAGACACAGCTGTTTTCAAAGTACTTTACATGTTTCAAGTGTGTGTTCAGATTAGAGAATCCTCGAGTTAGGTGGATAATGGTGCCCAAGGCAGAGTTTGAGACAAACTTCCCTGAGTTCTGTCCTACGTGGCTTTTGTCCGAAGAGCTTGTGACCCTCCAAGTGAGACATCATGTTTATGGATGGAAATATACAGGTCTTCAAAAATTTCATGGAAACTGAGTATTATGAAACAACTATGCATGGATTTCAAAGGGTTTTTTTTTTTTTTGCACCAAAATAAACTTACCTTTTAATTCCATTTTCCCATGAACATTTTTAAGTACTCTCATGTACATGGGTATTTACAGGAAAGAGCTAAATTAGAGACAGGTGAAAGTGAGTGACATTAATATTGTAATGGAAGTCATGGTAGAACATGAAACTAGGGGAAGAATATAGGGAGAAAACAAAAGAGACCTGAAAAAACCCTACATTGAAGAGAGAAGATGATGAGTCAGCAAAGGAGACTCTGAAAGAGTGCTGGTAGGTTAGGAGGAAACCAGGAAAATGGGGTATTGCCAAAGTCAACGCAAGAGAATGTCTCAAGCAGAGAGTGTGTAAGCGGGTTGAAAGCTGTATTTAATTTTGGCAAGGCATGGCACTCCACCCTCCCAAGATAGCTATTAACAGGGAATTACTATTTAAAGGTCAAATTGTCGGAGACTCCAAAGCCTATGTTTTGAGGATTTGGAAAATAATTGCAATCTCATTACAGATACTAAACACAAAAGATAACCTTCTATGTTCATATGCACTCATGACTTCTAGCACTAAGACATGTTCGCCTATTTGTGGATTTAGACTTGGCAAGGATGGCAACTCTTTGAGTATTCGGTAGTATTCTTTCCGTTGCCAAGCCTACCCAGGGCAAAACAAACACAGAGTGATCTTCCAGGACTTGACTCCTCTTTGGGCCCCTCCTGTAACATGTACAGAATTCTGTCACCATCACCATATGTAAAACATTTTGTTTCTTTACATGGGCATCATTTTTGGATGTCCCTGAGGGCAGGCAACAATCTTCTATGACTTTCTATCTCTAGGGCCTATCACAGTACCTAGCACTTGGTATGTACTGATTAAAAGTTTGCTGAATGAGTGGAAAGTTGCATAATTTTTCTGTGAATACATGAAGAGCCAATCTGGAAATTCCATCTCTAAGTATTCTTTCATCATAAACTGTAAAATACTGTTTAAATAAAGGATGTGGTTTATCCATGTTTAGGTTTTAGGTCAATTTTCTATGAAGTTAGTAAAATCTTATTCCAATACAAATTATTTAATTCCTTGGTGCCGTGGGTTCCTTGCCTATAAAATAAGAATGGCAATGCTGATTTCCCTTGGCACTGCAGTGAGGATCGTAAAACTCTACTTGCCCATAAGAGGTACTCCTTGGGTCTGAAGACAGTTGACAATCATTTCTGTCTAATTCTCTCTCTGCTTACGTATGTTGGTTCAGACTCTGGAGGGTCAGAATTGCAGGAAACAAGAGATAAGTTTTAAAAATCTGTTTGTCAGCCCTGGAGCAGTGGCTAAAGATTGGATACTTTTCTTTGACAAAGGGGTGATTTTTTTTTAAGCACTCTCCAGACCCATCTGGGCTGGACAAGAGGAAGTATTGGTGGCCTTAGGGCTGACATAGGCCAGTTGCAGCAAATGTAATCAATTCTACAAGGTCCCATCAGACCTAATCTCCCCTCTACTTTAGTGTTGCTGTTCAATTAACTTACGGGTCTCTTAGCAGAAAATCCGTGAAAGAAATGAGAGAATATTTTAACCAAGGGCAATCCTACCGACTGCAATTTAAATAATAAAATGTAGCAACCCACTAGATGCATTTTCATTTATTATAGCTCCCCCGGTCACACAACAGCCCCCCTTTGACAGAGTGCTGATTACAGTGGTAGCCTTACTACACTATCTCATTTTGTGTTCATGTGGATGTTGCAACTATCGCCGTTGTACAGTGCAATGTAAAATGCAGACAGTGAGGTTCAAAGACATTAAACAATTTGCCCAGCGTCACAGCTGGCAAAACAGACCAGATAGAAACATAATCTCCACAAAGCACATTACTACCATTTTATATTGCCCTAAATACTCTGACAATATCTCTGTAAGTTTCTGATACGATTTTTCTTTTTAAAAAGCTACCTTTCACTAAGATAAGCTCACCTCAAAGGACAAACATGGGAGTTTTCTTGTCCTTTAAGATTACTTTAAGGCAAAAACAAAAATACATAATAAATGAAAACAAGTACAATATTTAACTTGATAAATAGTCCAATAAACTTACCTGAAACCTAGCTTTTCATTTTCTTCCACTGACTTCTAATATGTTTGTCTCCATACACCAGCAATACTCACATCTGGAATGACCTTTGTTCCTTCGCTTTCAAAAGAAGTCTACTTATCTTTTAATTCTTTTTCTTATTTCTTACACCATTTAAACTTGATCTCATTTGATTCACTAGTATTTTAATGTGACCAGCTTGTACACTGAAGATTTCAAGACCCTGTAGTCATACATGGATAAGTGAGGTCCCTGCTTGCTGCATACAAGTCAGTCTGGGTTTGGGATGATTTCAATGTTATATAAGACAGTTGCCTTAAAAGCTTCATAGAGCAAGATAAAAAACATGGTTCCATTTTCTCCAAGAAGTACTAGAATGATTAATCACATGGCTAAGGTAAGAACATTAACCCTGTGGACTGTAGATATGTCAATCATCTTGGTCCTGGGTGTCAACTCTAAATGATTGGTAGTAGTTACTCAAAATGCAGAGTTGAGCAAGATTCTGAGGTTGCATCCAGACTTAGTGGCAAAGCAGCTATAATCAATTTGTGATGTCTTCTGGGGGCAGTAGAGAGTTGTGGCAAGGCTGCACACATGTCAGCATTTGCTGTCTTGAAAAAGCAATGGCCCCAGAAA